TAGCTTTACCACAAAAGTCTAAAGGAGCTCCTACAAAAACAGATGAAGGGAAACCTTATTGCTGATGGCTGGATGGCAGGCAGGCCTCTCCGATGTCAAGGGGAACAGTTAGGATGTGAGGTTAGAAACAACAAACCGCAGACTCCTGGGGATCGTGCAGGCCTCAGGGCTCGCTCCACTGACATCTCCCGTGTTCTAAGGAGCAGCTCGATCTCAAGTCAGGATTTAGAGGTCAACCGAGGAGACGCGGGAGTCGGGAGGAGAGGCGGCACAGAGAGAGAATGAACTCCTGACGGTTTCGTTATCTGTGCAAATGGGGACCGTCTGACCTGAGCTTTGGGGACTAAATCGGGCAGCGCAGCGGAAGGTATCGGCACGTAGCAGTGTCTGCAAATGTTAGTTGCTGCTGTCGTTGTCTTTCCTGATCATCGGAATGATAAATCTGAACCTAAAAACAGGGGCCATTCACCCAAGCTCGTAGAGGACATAATACGTAGAGGACAGAAATAACGGCATGCGGAGGAAGCTATGCGTGAGGACTCCCTCCGTCATCCACAAACTGCTGAAATCACGCAACTTCTATCCCGCGGGGCCGAAACATTCCACCCTCGTGTCTGGTGTGGTACGACACGATCGCGCTGCCCAGTGGGTACAAAACGGTGCTCCCTTGCTACGCACAAGCCTTCCTGCATGTTTGCGTTCTAGCAACCCGTACATTTTCTGGAACGGTTGTGATGGACACTGAACCCACGGCACCCTTAGAAGCATTCTAGTCTAGGCTTTGAAAAATAAGAAAACGAATGAAAATATCACGTTATCATCGTTTCTTTCCGGCAAAACCTTGACGTGCTCTTATTACTCAGAAATGGGGTACTTAACATAAACCAAAAAAACACTGGCGGGTAGGGGTAGCGTATGGCAAGAAGGGGAGAAAAACTCACCACCGGCAACTGAATACAAAGAGTTCAAGCTCAGCCCGGAATTCTTGGCAATTAAGAAAGTTGGTTTCCATCAGGTGTTGCCAAACGGTTGAGTGGCGGGGGGCGGGAGGGGGGGTGTTAAGAAAACAAATGCTGTGCTTATAACCTGTATCTTTGCACGTGCCATGGATGTGTTTAAAGGCAGGTAAGGACATACGGACGGAGGGGAAGTGACTTTCTCCTGGAAGCCAGAGCCAGCAAGGGCACATCCTAGTACAGTAGGCTGTGGTACCATGTGACCTCTTTTCTTCCCCGAGGGGGGACATGCCGTTTTAACTACTATTTAACCACTACGTTGTTTTCAAATGGCATTTGGAGTGTTGAGAGGAAACAACTATGGGCTCTGACTCTACCAAAGCCTCCTGTTGCCACGGTTGCACGACTTGGGATTTATTTCCCCCCGGGGCTCCCTCAGTCAGGGATAGAGAGTCCCTGACTCTATCGGGCGGCGACACAGCCACTCCCTCGGGCTAGAGTCAGCACCGGGACAGGGCTGCGTGGCAGCACCCTTTAGCTGATGAATGGGGGGGGGCGACCAGTGGGAGACAAGAAAGAGGAATGCTGTGTTCTCTGGGACTTCCTTCAGACCGGGCTCTGGCCACAAGGAGGCTCATCCGTCAGTGGGCCCAGAAAAGGTCAAGGGATTCAGAGCCGATGACGACTCATTCTAAACACAGCTCACCTGTGTGGTTTTTATTATTCAAAGGTCAAAAGCATGATGTATTTGATTTCTGTGACTAGGTATCATTCGGAGAGCATCAGTATGAGGCAGAGGTATTCTGACTCTAAGGAATGGCCTGAAGTTCATCCGCCATAGAAGTCTTAAAGTAAGGAGGTTAACAAAGTTGTCATTTGGCCAGGGAGGAACGTCATTTGAAGGGAGGTGTTCTCCTCATCTTTTGCTACTTAATATAACTCTTTACGCTGACCTAGTAAGTAGTTAAATAACATATTTAATAAACACCTGGTAAAAATTACACTTCCAAACAGGAATAATGCCTCCCAGATCATTTACGCTTTTACATCACAACTCTTTTTTTAATTTTTTTTTTTTTCAACGTTTATTTATTTTGGGGACAGAGAGAGACAGAGCATGAACGGGTGAGGAGCAGAGAGAGAGGGAGACACAGAATCGGAAACAGGCTCCAGGCTCTGAGCCATCAGCCCAGAGCCTGACGCGGGGCTCGAACTCCCGGACCGCGAGATCGTGACCTGGCTGAAGTCGGACGCTTAACCGACTGCGCCACCCAGGCGCCCCTACATCACAACTCTTAACAATTTCACCAATCGCTACTCCTAGGGGTACCCTGGTGTTCGGCTATGAGCCGTCCCCTAAGACATTCTGTTTTGGGGTACAGGCTGGCTGCATACAAGAAAATGAGAAGCCACTGCTGGTCTTGTCTTACAAATCCAGCCCTATAAAGCGACGACAGGCGTAACTTCTCCACACGTCCCCCATTCGTCTTTGACATGTAACAAACCATGTGAATTAATGAGATCAGACAGAACCACATTAAGAAAAATACTGAGGTTTAAAAGCAGAACCATTCTATTGTTAACTGGAATCCGAACACTTTCTCATCCCTGGTTTGAACCACAATCTTGTTTTTCTCTCCCAAGTGTGCGAATTCCAGTGTGGAAAATATTAGGTTTCTTAACACAATGACGTTTCATATAAAGAGCAGAATTTTTAGAGAGGTTTCTTACAACATTCCTGGAGGCAGGGTAGACCAACACACCGGCCAAAAGACAAACACAGAAAAGGATTTACTTTTTTTCCCCCTTTGATGGAACCATATGGAAGCTAATACTTATGTGCAGACACCATTTAGACCTTGGTCTCAAAAAGGAGAAGCTGAGCACGGCTACTGGGAGAGTATACAGAAGAGAAAATCTACGGGAGAAAGCCATCCTGCAGCATCTCTTCTTGGAGCACAGTGGGCTTTTCGTGCAGGACCACAAACCACTGGCTACAAGCACACAATTTAACCTCTTGGTGGCTTACTATCATGAGCCAAGCAATCTGCCTTTCACGCGGGTCCGTAGGAGACCCCTACCCCAGTGTCGTGTTCCGCAAACACGTGAAACAGCACAGACTGCCGACGACCTCGGTCTCTGCAGCCAGAAGTCACAGGTTCAAATCCTGACTGTTCTACTCACTGCCTCTAACATGGACCAAGGACTGACCTGTTTCAGCCTCGGTAAAATGGGAATAACCATCATTCCCACCTCCTAGGGTTGCTAGAAGATTGCATCAACCAACGCGTGCAAACCATTTTAAACCATTCCCTGGATGTGGCACAGTTCACGAAGGGCCAGTAAGGCTCAAGTGGGAACTGAGGCGCCATCAGCGTGCCCTCTGCACCGCAGGACGGCTCCGAGGGCAGTGCACTGATGGAAGAGCAAAGCGTGGCTGTGGCGGACTTTTGTCATCTCTGGTTCGGCGGGGCCCCATGAAACTGCAGGCTTTGCAGGCGGGCAGATTTGTTTTCTAAACCCGCGGCGGCATCGGGCGGATTGTGCCCACGAGAGCGCCCCCTCCTGGCAGAGCTGAAGGAGCGCGAGCGGCACAAGGACCCGATGTTCGTCTTCACCTCTTCCGCCCATGCCCTCCGCACAGGGCAACACAACACACAAGCACAGCGGTGCCCCGGGCAGAGTGAGCGCTCAGCAAGTACCCGCTGAACACACAGCTAAAGGGAAGGACCTGGGGCTCCGCGAACACCCGCAACAGGTGTTAGACCGAACAGATCTAGGCAAGGAAACCTTGACGTCAGACCCACTGCGACCATATTTCTCCAATGCTGGATGGGATTTCCTAAAAGCAATTTTTATCAGCTAGTTAGGGAGATCAGCTGCAAATAAAATTGTCAATACATTGAGATCCAATAACATTCATATTTGTGAAAACATTTTATGAAAACCCATGATGGTCACTTCCATTTACAACTAAATTTTCAGTGCAAATACTTAAATGAAAAAACGAACCTCCCAAATTACATAAGACAACAAGCACTGTAGTACCTCAAAGAGATTTACTTAGGTTCTAATTTTTCAATGGGTAAAAAAAAATGCCTTGGAATTTCTAGCAAAGGCATAGCTAAGCTTTCAGAAAAAGCTTACAGGACTTCTTTAAGCTAAAGAAATACACTGGGACCTATTAAAACCAATTTTTTTTGATAATTTATGACAAATTTATAAATTTCCTACATTTTAAAAGTTAAACCCTGAAATTTTATCCTGGCATCTAAATACATCACAGTAACTAAAAATTAATTTGTTTGGGATACAATGAACTAGATACATGCTCAGAACAAAGGACACAGCTGACGCATCATCTCTAAAGGCAAAAAAAAAAAATGTATGGAGGAAATATGAAACAGCTTTCACTATAGATGGCGCAAAAACATAACTCCAAGAGCTAATATTAAAACCTAACCCATAAAACGGGAGGGTGGTGAGGGGATGGGCGAAATCGATGAAGGGGACTGAGGTACCAACTGCCAGTTATCAAATAAATAAGTCACAGAGATGGAAAGTACAGCATAGGGAGTACAGTCAATAACACTGTAATAATAGTGTTCGGTGACCCATGGCAGCGACAATATGCTGGTGACCCTGGCGTAATGTACAGACCTGCCCGATCACCGTGCTGTGCACCTGAAACTAATATAACGTTGTATGGCAACGTTAAATTATATTATAATTTAAAATATCGGGGCGCCTGGGTGGCGCAGTCGGTTAAGCGTCCGACTTCAGCCAGGTCACGATCTCGCGGTCCGTGAGTTCGAGCCCCGCGTCGGGCTCTGGGCTGATGGCTCAGAGCCTGGAGCCTGTTTCCGATTCTGTGTCTCCCTCTCTCTCTGCCCCTCCCCCGTTCATGCTCTGTCTCTCTCTGTCCCAAAAATAAATAAACGTTGAAAAAAAAAATTAAAAAAAAAAATAAAATATATATAACCCATAAAACCTTGAAAGAAAGAAGGTCGCACAGCAAAGTTCCCAATCCTCGTTTTGTTTTACCTTGCACCATGAGCATCGGTTCCTTGCCCCCGCCGTGTGCCAGCATCTCCCTGCGATAGCGCTCCCCTGCCGTCCTGGTGGGGGGAGAAGAAGAGACCGTTACAGGCACTGACACGGGCAGCCCGCCCAGCCCCCGGTCACCCGTGTCTTAGTTTCTTTCTCCAAATGAAGCCACGCTGACAGAAAAGCCGCCACCATGAGATAGCTCAGCCCTCGATTTTCCTGCTTCTAAACATCGAATTCCAATTTCTGAATTACTCTAATAAAGTCAAACTAGGTGTGAAATATTTACTGTAAAAGGAGAAGTGTATTTTTAGCTTTGTTTCACAGCAAGCAATCTCTCTTCAAAGAAAGGATTATTTCGTTTATGGATCATATACTAAGTGGAAGCTATCCTATTCTCCATCGTCTTTGGGATGATCTTAAAGTGAGGTGTTGGAATTATTTACGCTGAGATGAAACAGAGAGAGAAAAAATAAGACTGTGAAATAAAAGCGAAGGAGAACAAGCTGGCAGGAGAGGGTTAATTACACCCGGAGACCTTGGCTTAGGGTAACAGCTAATGGAACAGGAAACTGACTCTTGAGTATACAGGTGGAAAGGGCAAAGTTCAGAACGGCCCGTCTGTATCTTCTGATGCTCTTTGTCTGCTGGATTCTGCAGGGAACACCGTCTGTGATGATACTCGCAGGCAGATTTTGGAGAACTTTTATAGATAGAAATTCTCCAACTTAATGGCACCCGGACACAAGGCTATTTAGAGCTACTTTTGTGTATTATGGAAAACGCAATTCCTTTAATGCCAGATGACTGACACCCATGATGACATAAGTTACATAAATCATGATGTTTTCATTGCGCTATTTCTGGAGCATCTTTGCATACGGGCAATTTTGCAAACGTGGTTTCTAATCAGAATTTCTGATAGTGTCACAGTATCCAACATAGGTTGATGTCAAACACGAAGTGGGTGCTAAGCCAAAGCGTGTCCTGAATTAGGAAACATGGACAGAAGGCTGGGCCCACCCAGGGAGGGGACAGGGTGGCTGAGAGGCCCTGCCTGACCTCTGGCCTGGGGGAGGGGTGTACCTCCTCCTGGCCCCTGGCTTTCTGGTGAGGCATCCAGTCTGGTGATTTTTTTTAGGAGTGGGATCAAAAAGGATCTTTTGACATAGGCAAGAAATTTTCTAGCCTTATGAGTATTTTTACTAGCTTACTTTTACATGTCTATAAAAGTGTGGCAAACTACATGTCTAGGCAAGAATGCACACATAAACAAGATATAAATGCAAGAAATATATGTACTTAATAGTATGTGGTCTTCTAGTAAAGTGCAGTTCCTTTAAACAAGGTAATATTTTGCCTGTTTATAGAAATCTCCAGTGAAGAATCGTAATTCCCCGAAATGATTTATTATAGTCAATTTTGGCTTTCGGTCTTTTGAAAATAACAAATTCTGAAGAGCAGACCGAATGTCTGCAGCATGCAAAGGGCAGGAGACAAAAGAACATGTGGCTACGAAGCTGCAAAACATTTCAACATTCTATGACATCAGACTCAAGTTCCAAAGACTTTGGAACTGAATGTGATTATTAGATGCTACGAAAATCCCAACCTGCATCAAGCTGCATGAAAAGCTGGAGTTGTGCAGGAGACGGGGAGGGGGAGGGGGCTGGGAATCAGCAGACCTGTTTAATCATCTCACTCCAGTCTGAACTGTGAGGCCTCGGACAAACCACTTGCCCTCTCCGAGCCTCAGTTTCCTCTCGTAAGAAGTAGGTGCTCTGCCAGGACAACCGTGAATGCAAACTAATGCGCCGTACGGAAAATTTCAGGGCACTCCGAAAATCCAAGGTGCCATTCATCTTCAACCACATGAAAGCGGTGAAGACACCAGTCATCATCCACGGCTGCCTGACAGGTGTTTGGAGATGCGTCTGTGTGGTGAGGAGACAAGATGTTTTAAACGAGTATGAGACCAGATCATCATTCGTGGTTTGCTTTCAAGGAAGCACCTTCCAAGGACTCTGAGACCAGAACTCAACTTCCCCAAGGCTGCGGTCGAGAAGCATCCTGTGGAGGCCCACTGGGGGCACGACAGGATACTCCTGTGCTTCTGATTCTGGGGATGCGGGGCTGCCCAGCCCAGACCCCGCTCTCCGTCCTCTTCCAGCCCACCGCCACCTCGCACGGCCTGTCTCCACGGCGGGGAAGGGGTTGGGCATTGTACGTCCCTACCTGAAATCCACCTACCCGGATTCCCTCACTGAATCACTACAGGCTCCCGCGGTCACCAGCTAGCCCGAGGCCCGAGACTCAGCCCACAGTCATGTTTGTGAGCCTTCCGCTGAGTCGGCCGCGGATTCTCCCGTCTGAACCACTGCCCATCCCGATGGTGGAAATGGTGAGCAAGGCTACTCGAGAGGGCACCCAGGAGGCAGGCCGCGGGAAGCGATGTGGGGCAGGGGTTCTGCAGCTACCGGTACTAAGTGGCGGTCAGCGGCCCCCATGAAGGGGAGCTGTGGAGGAGCCGTCAGGGGAGCGGGTCCCCTTCTTCAGACCGCCACCGTCTTCCACAGGGAGAAAGCGTTCCAAAGTCGGGCAAAGGGGGAACCTTCCGGAGCAAAGTGGACCCTGGCGTCGAGAGTCAACGCTTCCAATGGTGCTGCTCCCAAATGACTGAGAGTAGCGAGTCCTTCGTTGGGCAACAAAGAGGAAATCAGGTGTTCCGTGTGACTGACTCCTCGGAAGCTTGTGCCGAAAACAAGGAAGGCCGTCTCAAGTAACGGGAAGCACAGAGCAGTGGGGAACAGACAACAAGACAGGCTGGAACAGCCACACAAACCCACAGGGGACGCACGGGAACACAGCAGTCTAGGCCCACTTTGGAGGCGCAAAGAGCCCTCACGCAGAGGTCCCTGCGGGCGTGACAGGAGGGTGCCACACCATCGCCGGTGTGTGACGGCCGTGAGTGCTGCTGCGGGCTATAGGTGGAGTACTGGGCCTGGCCCCGTCTCGGGCAGTCGGTCGGAAGGGCCTGGCAGTGGCCTGCACCGCGGGGCAAGCGGCTGAGGTTCCTGGCCTGGCTTCAGACGCAGGGGCGTGGCAGATTACTGGTGTCAGAGAAGAATTCCTCCCCCTCGTTACCTGTTAAAAGGGTCTCGTCGAACACTCCTTCCAGACCATGGAAGCTACCGCCCTGGACATGAGGTAAGAGTAATACTTGGCACCGTAGCCCACGAGGTGGCTGAATCGAAGCTGCCAGGCCTGCCAACACGGAAACAGCACAGGAAATAATTACGTCTTTGTATCTCCAGGTATCATGCACCAGAACGCAATGGGAGCACAGGAGGAAATCCGCAAATGTCTGCATTTAAATTTAACCCTCGAGGGCCACGTCGCTCACCATAGTAACATTTTTCCATATTTTATACACTGTTATGGACTGAAGGGTGTCCCCCCGCCCCAAAATTTTATGTCGAAGCCCCCACCCCGATGCCGCAGAATGTGACTGTATTTGGAGATAGAGCCTTTCTTTTAAAAGGGTGGCCAAGCTAAAATGGGGCTAATGCAGGGGCACCAGAGTCCTTCTAAGAAGGGAGAGACACCAGGGTGGGCTCAGAGGAAAGACCACGTGAGGACATGGCCAGAAGGCGGTCGTCTGCAAGCCGAGGGGAGGAGCCTTGAGGAAAGCAAACCTGACACGCTGAACCGTTTTGTACAAGTTCGTCACTGCTGGGGCTCAGCTCTGTGACAGACGTGGAAAGCGGGCAGCCCGAGCTCAGCAGGACAAGTGAGGATCGCGGAGGGGCTGGGCTTTCACACCCGTCGTGGCCTGCGGATGCCTGGTCATCCACGCCAGAGGGAACCATGGGTCTGGCTCTGAGTGCCTCCGTGCTTTTTGAGGACAATCGTGTAGCTCTTATAAGAAAGGCCGTGTGAGTTTTCATGGAAGAGTGCTCTCCCACTGGAAAATTCTCTTCCTGCCAATACCGTTCTTCCTTGGGACCTAAAAGCTAAAACACCTACCTCCTGATCGGTCAGTAGGAGGAAGGGTATCCAAGTGCCAACGCATAAACTTACCAGGCCATACTCACGGTGACATCACGACGACAAAAGCTAGAACTCTAAAAACTGTCCTCAAAAGACGGATTTGTGACTTAAACATGACATCCACTGTCTTCTAATGTATGCTTTAGTTGAACATTAAAACTTTTTGAGGAAAAAAAAAAACTGCAGCCCACGTATTTTTTAAAGATGTAACCAAAAAACTAAGCCTTATTCATGACTGACAGATGGATATGTTATACTTTCATTTGTAATTTTTCAACAAAGGCATAATTGATATATTACAGAAGTTTTAGGTATACAACATAATGATTTGCTATTTGTATATATTGTGAAATGATCACCACAGTAAAGCCTAGAAGCCTGTTTTTTTTTTTTTTTAAACTAAGATAGTCATTAACAAATCTTTTAATTCCCTGGAAAATAAAGTATAAACTGTAATCCTTACCGCAAACCTGTAAGCTAGATAAGCAAATTCTACCTGATTGAGAACAAACATTGAGAACACAGACAGTTCCTTGATCACAGTGTGTGGCAAATTTTCGAACATCGTCTAAGTCCTGTATCTACTCCACAGGGGCTTATGATGAGGTCCCAGTGCTAGTTATTCTCTGGGCGTGTCCGACACTTTCAGACAAATAGTTTGCCTGGATTGGGCAAAGGAGCTGTTACAAAAGAGGGTGTGCTAACGTGACATTGTCAGCTATGCTTCGATGTTTTAGCAGCACTTAAAAAAAGGAAGAGCACAAATATGGAAAATGGCCAATGGGAAAAAAAAAAGGAAGGTATGCTGAGGCGTCCCAACTAATTTTGAACGTGAGGCTATCATGGCAGAGAGAAACAACTACCCTCCGTATCCACTCTCCCCATTTTTCAAAATGGCTACGCTGGGAAGTAAAGTGAGCACCTTGTGAGTCACGTTCTTAAAGGAAACAGATGTGCCCCTTGCTCCTGAGGTCTGTCACGTCGGGCCATCTGGGAAGGTGAGCCCCCCGCGAGGGGGAGCTGGAAGCCGGGAGCGTGGTTTCGGACTCCGCGTGGCCACCACCAGCACCGGGTGGGTGCGTTCACGAGGCTGCCGTCTGGGGTCTGTTACAGTCACCGGACCTGGATCCTTCCTAACTTGCCCCAGGCACAGGTGCCAGCACCGTAACAACATGAAGGGCAGCTGGACTGAGGCCCAAAGGCTCAACTGTGGCCTCGCCCCGGATGGGAGAGAGTGACTGCACACTGTCCAGTCAACAGGTACCCTCAGGGGGACGTGGGGGACATGGAAAATTCAGACAGGCTACCTTTCGCATCCCGTTTCTGTGCAAGGGGTGTTGAAATTGAAGGCAAATTGTCAAGGACCATCTATGGGTCAAAATCCATTACGATAAACTTTGAGTGACTAAAGTTTGAGTCAAAGGGTTAGGTCTTTCAGAGTTCAATTATAACCCATACAGTTCTGGATACTCTGTCTTATTAAAAAAAGGGGAGGGTCTATGCCAATTTTTGTGGTATGCTGGCATCTTAATGGGCCACTGGTAATCTTTCTCACATGAAGCCGCTGGGATGCGATGATATCTTTCGTAACGGAGTACGGCCTGCTGTTTTAATCTGGCTCTTATGCGATGGATTATATAAGCCTTTCTCAAGGTGGAAGTCTCGAGATCAGAAGCACACAATTTAAGGTGCCCCGTCTGAAGCTTCTTCTCGGTGATCTGCCGTAACTAGTTCGGTAGCCTTTGTAATGCAGAGCCAAGTTTAATTTTGTTTCGATTCCAGCTGGATACGCTTTCGTGTTGCCTTGAATGCAGGCCTACTTCCATAAAGGCATCTGATTTGAGCCAAGGGATTTCTAAGTTCGTTCACGTTATCAGCTCATAACTGAGTCCTCACATAAACAGAGTAATAAAAATCAGACCTTTCGGAAGCGTAGAAAGAGACATCGGGATGCGTGCAATCCCGATGCGTGCAATTCCTGAGCTGTCACGGTGTCTGCTGAACAGCAACATGCCCGCCGGGATGCAGATGCTCTGGCACAACACACACCTCGTCGCGTCTTGTCCTTTAATTACAGGCTTGAGTCCGGTACTACACCCTTCTCATACCCAAACATTTCACATGCCAAAGAAATTGCACCCACCTGCCACCTTTCATCAGAGGCCTGCACGTTTATGGTAGACTAAGACCTAGGGTTCCACTGCTGTTTGACCACAAATAGTGAATTCCTGCTGATTCAACCTCATATTAAGACCTTATTATAATTTCACTCATTCATCAGGAAAAGGAAAAGGCAGCATTTCATTTTAAGCTCAGGAGTTAACGATATGACTCTCCCTTTGAAGTCGAATGTTTCATGTCCTAAGGGACAAGGTCAGATGGACAGAAGTTTCTACCCTTCCTTTGAAGTGTAATGTGCGGATCTGGTCTTAAAAACCAAGGGCACCAACCCCTTCGCTGCTTCTCTTTTATTCTGTGCAGACCTTCTTCTAACCCTGCCCCTGTCCCACGGCTTGGTTATGACAAACCTCTTGGTCAGACACGCCCAGGGATCCCACATAAAAGACAGGAACGTGGAGCAGGTGAAGAGTGAGTGTTCCAGGAACTCTGTGGAAACTGTCACTTGCTTTAGAACTCAGGGAAGCGGGGCCCTTTGAGGCTTCTCATTCGCTGTAGCTCCTTCCTAACAGCGCAACTTTCCTCCGTCCGAGTTAGAGACCGGACCGGGAGGCCAGGAACGGAAACAACAAAGCATCTGGTGACCTACTATCTCAGTTTCGAACCCAGAAGAGGGGCTAGTGCAGAGTAAGCACTCATCAACTACACGTTAAATGTTCAATGATTGAACTAATCACCTCTTAAAAAAATTTTTTTTTAATATTTATTTTTGAGAGACAGAGTGTGAGCGGGGGAGGGGCAGAGAGCGAGGGAGACACAGAATCCCAAGCAGGCTCCAGGCTCCGAGCTGTCAGCACAGAGCCGACGTGGGGCTCGAACTCACAAACCTCGAGATCATGACCTGACTGGAAGTTGGACGCTTAACCAACAGAGCCCCCCCCCACCGGCACCCCTCATTTCTCTTAATTATACTCTCAGCACACCATTTCTTCATTTCTAGCTATATGCGGATAAACGTATTTAGCTAAAATTTATTTTAAAACAATCTTTATCGGTGACATTCGAAGTTGCATGAGCACAGGGAGCGACACCCATCGCCTCCTTGGTGTGTGCCGTACGAACCGAGATTTCCTTCAGAGCAAAGACCACAGTGCTGTGTCTACGTCTGAGCTCAGCACGGCATGGGGACCATGAAAGGAAATCAACAGCTGTCTGCTGGCTGGCTGAATGGATGGACAGATGGACAGATACTAAAGGCTTCGTTTAGGATGATGCTCAATGTTCCTGAAAAATTAGCCTTTGATTGCAAGGAGGAGGCGAGGAACAACATTTATATCACAAACAAGAGGATATCACAGAGCTAAAAGCAAATGTTGGATCTCATGCTGACTATTAATAGTAGGTTTTTTTTACCTACATTTTTTTTTACTATTATCTGAAAAATGACATAAGATTTTTGAGGCTAATTTCGACACCAGATCTCCAGGTCTGGACTCTGTGTAGTGTTTTGTCTTCACGGACAGACCATTCTGACTTTTCACATGAGGCACAATCTTGCTGGTTTGTGGAGGACTCTTAGGGTATCAAATCTGTGCCATCCCAAAGTGTTTATTTGGCCGCCACGGAAAACAGAAGGACATATTTTCCCATCTGCCTTCTCATGTTTATATTCTCTCGTAAGGTATGCATACGTATACATTTTCCATGAATCAATGTAGACTAGTTTTTCTAGTTTGATAAAAACTCCCTATGGACACTTTACCAGAACCTGAGAAATGACAGTGCCAAACAAACTAGAATTCTCCATTTGAAATACAAAGGAATTTAAATTTTTTTAAATCTTTATCTTAGAGAGAGAGAGAGAGAGCGCGCGAGCAGGGAGGGGGCAGAGAAACAGGGAGACACAGGATCCGAAGCAGGCTCCAGGCTCTAAGGTATCAGCATGGAGCCCGACGCGAGCTCAGACCCACGAACCGTGAGATCATGACCTGAGCTGAAGTCAGACGCTTAACTGACTGAGCCACCCAGGAGCCCCAATACGAGGTGATTTTATTTTTATTTTTTTAATTTTTAATTTTTTTTTTTACTTTTTAGGT